AGCAAATCAAACATGTTTGATTTGCTCCCGATCTCACGATTCCTGATATATATTATTATATAGACTGTCGAGGGCAAATCACTCAGTGTGCATGCGCGAACAAGGATTCTTCTTTTTATTCTTCCTCTCAGATTTAAACAAAGCAGCGTGTCAGGGATGTAATGAGTGAAGGCAGTTCTTTCTGTTAAATTGGCAGACCATAGTAGCCACGTTTGTTCGGCCATGTCTTTGTCCAAATACGTTGTCACCTTTTCTTTTGAGGGCTTTCAGCACAAAAATGCACAAATTGCGCTTTTCACTCTAGTGAGCTTCATATTCCCTTTCTACTCGTTTGGCTTCTGGATAGACGCGTCAGAGCAGCTCCATCTCACTGCGGAGCTCAGTCCAACGTGCAACGTGTGAGCAGCAGCTGTGTGCAACGATTGAAAAAACTCACAGTGTACACCCGGCTTTAGGCTTTACAATTAATAAACTCAGTGGCTCAAAGCTTTACATTGTCATTCCAGTAATGCTTATGTCTTTCACTCCTCTGAGAGTCCTCGGTGCTTAATAAACACCCCTCTCCGTCAGCTACTACACACCTTTTTGTTTCACAGTCTTTTTTGATCCCTTTAAGTTTCCATAACTGTTGCTCACTGGATTGAGACATGAGAGGATGACCACCAAAGAGTGCCCATCACTCACCACATGTACTATATGATTGCTTGCACCCTCTGGTGCTTGTGTACATAAGCTGTTTAGGAAAAATACACCTGACCACCTCATGCCATCCACACACACACAGATGTATAAATATACAGAAACAAGCAATGTTTGCTCAGGGATGGCCACATAACAACCACCATCACTTTGCTCACCTTTCATACACATGCAGGTTTGGTATTTCTTTTTCCCAGTGAAACTCACTCCCTGGTGGCCATTTGGCCTTTCGACATATGTGCTGGTGCCAGCAAGGAAAACACAGGGAGTTCAGTGTATCAATGGCAGCATTGACACACACAACTAAAGGCGAAGCTGCAGATTAATCTGCTAAACACAGACGTAATGATGCAGCGCAAGTCAGCATAGCCTAGCGGAGGGGTGACAAGACAAACAAAAAGTGTGACAAGGTGCAAAAAAATTATTTGATTCCTTGAGGAATGAAAAACGAGTATTGATCTGAATATAATATTAATAAAGCATTTAAATTCCAATGCCTAGTACATGGATGTGTCATTACAGTAGGTAATACTGGCTGGTGTTGCAGAACAATGTTTATGTCTGCTGACCACTCTAGTCTCAGGCTCATAACGGTCTAAGTAAACACTATTTGGATGATGGCTTAGTGTTTGTTTTATTTACAGATGAAAATATGTATTTGTATGGTTTTTTTGGTTGTCATTATATGTGATTTGACTGCAGAGTAATAATCAGTTATATAAAGTAAGCTGGCAAATTGGTCTTTTTTGGAAAATAATTTAATCAAAAATAATGTTTCTAGTTATAGTAAACTGTGATTTAAACATGGTATTTTTCATTCACCAAAGGAAAAATAAAAGTGACACATTTTCTCGTAATAATGGAATTAATCTTTTCTCATAATCACGACATCCTGATCTCAAAATTAGGAGTAATGATAATAATAATCCATTTTCATTAAAAGACGCCTTTCTAGACACTCAAGGTTACCGTACAGAAGATAAACACACAATGGCAGAAATGTCAAAACACAGAATAATAACCATTTAAGAATACAAAAGCTGAGACAGGGAAATTGATAATAAAGAGAATAGGCAACCTTAAACAGATGAGTTTTGAGTTGTGATTTGAAATGGGGAAGTGAGTCCTTAGAAACCTAAGTAGGACTGGTAGAGAGTTCCAGAGAAGGGGGGCAGAGTGGCTGAATGCTCTGCTTTCCATGGTGGTGAGATGGGCGGAAGGGACAGACAGGTGTAAAGCAAATGAGAATCTAAGGGCGGGGGAGGGGGTGGGAACATGCAGGAGGCCTGACAGTTATGGTGGGGCAAGGTGCTGAAGGGCCAAGAATGTCACCATGACAATTTTATATTGAATGCAGAACTGTACAGGGAGCCAGTGGAGTTGTCGGAGGATCAGGGTGATGTGTTGAATAGAGGGAGTTCTTGTTATAATGCGGTCAGCTGAGTTCTGGACCATATGTAATTTATGGAGTTATTTTTGAGGAAGGCCAAAGAAGAGAGCAGAGGCTCTGGAAACGTATGGCAGCAGTGTGTTGGGTAAGGGAGGGATAGAGTGGTTTGTTGCTTCTTAAGTGGAAGTAGGAAGACCAGCTAATGTTATTTATATGAGAGATTTAAAGGATAGGGTGCTATTAAGGATGACACATAGACTCTTAAGCTGGGGGGAGGGTAAGATGGAGGAGCTGTCAATAATAAGGGCGAAGTTCTGACAAGCTGTCTCACTGCATGGTGTGGGAGCTGTAGCGTCGCAGACTGGAAGAAGGGGGGAGAGTAGTGAGAACTGCAGAGAAGATCCTCGGGGCTCCTCTTTCCTTCATAAAAGACATTTCATCCCAGCGCTGCATGTCCTCAACCTGTAACATCATCAATGACCCCATCACACCTCCACCATGGACTATTCTCCCTGCTGCCCTCTGGGAACAGGCTTTGCAGCATTCGATGTAGGTCCAGCAGATTCCAAAACAGCTTCTTCCCCACCGCCATCAGACAGCTGAATGTTGAAAAAACTCTAAATCATGTCACAGACTTCATCAAACTAAGAATATCAGTGTGTGTCATTTGTATACACTCTTCGTATATATAATGACAATATAGTTTGTCCAAGTCTAGGTCTAAGGTTTGATAATATTGTTGAGTACAGTTGAAAAGTGACTTACAGCTATGCTGATTGGCAGTGATGAAGCTGGAATAGTACTGTGTTTCAGTGCTGACAATGGAGTCCTTTTAGTCAAAGATGTGATTATTGCACATTTCTTTGTGTATAGTGAGACCAGTTTTTCTGTAAAGTCTTTCAAGTTGGCCTTTGGCTTTCATGCGTCTGAGATTAGGGGTGAACCACTGGGTGGAGTCAGAGAAAGAAACAAATCTTTTTTTTAATGGAGCAAGTGAGTCAGGAATATTATGGAGACCAGTGTTGTAGTGAGAGACCAGATCATCAGGGGTGAACAGATTATTGAAGTCATGGACGCAGGAAGAGTGGATACTTGAAGTGAGGGTGGAGGGATCAATGTTCTTTATGTTCCGGAAAGATATGAGGTGTGATGTTTTTCAGATTCCCTGCAAATTAGAGGTAAAAAAAAAAAAAAGGTCAGTTATGGGGAGTTCATCAGCTATTATGTTGAAGGGGTGAAGGGGTTGACGCCAGAGCAGCAGAATGTGTCCTTTGAAGTGTGTGGAGTAGGTTGTATTAGAGTTGGTTGTATTGCTGACTCTCTCTCTATGCAGGAAGTAAAGTCTTCCTACCAAGTATGAATAGAGTAAATAAGGACTATAAAATACTATAGTATGAAATTTATAAAATAAGGATATCATAATAAGAAGAAAATATCTGGTTAATCAGAGAAAAATTAAGGAAAGTTGCTGAACTAAGCCTATAGTACATAACAGGAGAAGTGGACAGTGACTGTGAATTTGACATGGTTGCTCATCTTGTAGGGGCATGTCCTGTAACAAGTGAGCGGCTGCTTTGAACCTCACTCTGTTCAGCTCCGTCATTGTGTCTTTGTGCAAGACACTTTACCCTCCTTGGCTGCTGTTGGTGGTCAAACTGCTTTGATTGTATGACAACCTGGCATATGTTAGTCTACCCCAGGGTAGCAGTGTAGCTTGCATCCATAATGAATGCGAGTAGTGGGATGACTGAAAGTAGTGTAAAACTCTTTGGAGTCACAATAAATGTATAAGAAATTTTTGTCATGCCTTTATTCCCTAAGGGATGCTAGGAAATTCAATTCAATTTAGTTTATTTATATAGTGCCAATTCACAACACATGGCATCTCAAGGCACGTTACAGAGATAACTCAAACAGATTATACAGTCAAATTGATTCAAAGTTTTCTATTTAAGGAAAACCAGTTGATTGCATTGACTCAAAGGCAGTCCCTCACACCAAACATGCTTATAGTGACAGCAGAGAGGAAAAACACCCTTTTAACAGGAGGAAACCTCTAGCAGGACCAGGCTAATTGTTTGCGGCCATCTGCCGAGGCCGACTGGGGTTCAAGGAGACAGAAGCAGACATACAGAAAGAAGCAGAGATACATAGGGCAACTGTAAACCAGCTCCACAGGCGGCACCATCCTGGAAACACACAGCCAGGCGGACAAGCTCCGAGCCCGCTCCCATGTCAGAGGATAAAGAGAGGCATCTCAGTTCAGTCCACATGAGAATCATGCAGGAGTCTAAAGACAGGCCAGGCAAACAGATCAAACAAGGGCAGGCAGGCTCAAAGGTTCAACCAAAGAAACCGATCAGGATCAGACAATCAGAGCACCAGTAGGGGCTGATCAATCGAGGGCACGAGGGCGCTGCCCCACCCACCCAATGACCTTGATTAAGACATAAAAAAAAAAAAAATTAAAATGTAATTATAAAATGAAGGTATTTTGAAATATATTGATATATATATAGTTTTAGATGTGCAAGATAAATATTTATTCTTTATTGACCAATAAAACTGTTTCTTTTTTTGTCAGACTGGTGATGCATTTCCGCCCTAGAGTGAAAAAAACTATGCCCATTGACTCTCGTTAAAAGTTGTAAATGCACAGTAGGTCTTCTGCAATGCAGAGGTATAGGAGAGCTTGGGGCGCATTCTGACGTTATTCACAGTGGTCTTCAGCGTACTTGTGTGAATACCCAGATATATGTAAAATTAAAGGGAACATCAACTCCTTTACATCTTAGTCATTTGGAAAAAGGTGCTAAACCAAAGCAGCACCAGCAGCAGTGCATGTGTTATCATATTGAAGTAAAATCCACTGTTTCCTTCTCCTTTCTGCAGAAACTCTCTTAAGCTTTGTGGATGACATCCTGTCTGGGGCCAGGTCTCCGTGTGTTATGCTAGGGGACATCCCAAACCTACTATCTTCCTCCATCAGTCTTATAATTCGCTGCTTGGAGCCCGACACCACATACATGTAAGTAAACACACTATATTTATCATATTAAGTAAAGAAAATTTACAGTGTTTTAAAGTTGATACAGTTGATAGAAGCTCAAGATGCAATGCACATAGGAAGTAAAGCAATATCGTAGAACTAGTCTGGTGAAGTTGGTGCATCAGTAAAGATTCAGGAGACAAGAAAATTCCTCTATTCCAATGTATAAATCCTGTTTTACTGATACTTTTTGCTCATTTGGTACTTATACAAGACTTCAAAAATAATTTAATTTGTGATATTTCAATGAATATTTCTTTCAGTTGTTAGCTGTAGCCAGTATGAGAAATGTCCTTGTTTCGTATTGTATACAGCTAAATTTAGCTATTAGTATAACAGAAAAAGAAGTTGATTGGCCGTGCTTTAAGAAAAAAACAGACAACCTTTACTAGGGAAAAAACAGTTTTTAGTCTCTACTTTAACTTAATTGTGGTGAAGACTAAGGCTACGTTCACACTGCAGCCTGAAGTGACCCAAATCCGATTTTTTTTGGCCCATATGCAACCTGTATCTGATCTTTTCATGGCAGTCTGAACAACACAAATCTGATTTTTTCCAATGGGACCCAGGCCACTTGACTATGTGGTACTGAATCCAATCTGATCAATTTAAATACAACCTGTGTCTGAACGACCAGGTGGCATTCATCTGACCTGAACGCCATTAATACCCTACAAAGGTCACTATTCTGGGTCTTGCTATTAAGAAGCTGCAAGGAAAACAACAGACGATGATGCGGAGAGCAGTATTTATATTTAACCATTTTGAAAAGATTGTGTTTTTATGGTTGGGAAAGTTTGCTAGATGTGTTCCAGCACTATCATCCATGTTTACTTCCGTAAACACAGTGCACGCTGGCCTGTGAAGTCATTGCATCCTCTAAATGCGGGACACTTGAGCTGTATGACTGCAATTCATGCAGGGGATCACATACAAGTCGCATATATTTGGAAATGTGAAAGTCAACACAAAAAAATGGGATTTCACAAAATGATCGGAATTGAGCATTTAGGCCTTCAGTGTGAACGTAGCCTAAAATCAGTCCTCAGGTGATGCTGTTCTGCAGGTTTTCCATCCTTCATTTGCTCGGTGATGAATTATAGATATTTTTTTCTTCTATGATCTCTCTAGTTGATTCTGAGTCTTGGGTCCTTTTTTAAATGTTATATCAACAGTTTACTCCTCAGTTTTTTTTATAGGATCAGGTATAATGACTGAGATAGCCGAAAAAACTGTACCATTAGTGGAGTTGTGAATAAAAATGATTATTATCATCAGTTGATTAAACAAACGACTATAACACATTTTCTCTTTTCCCAAAAGGAGGTTCAAGACTTAAAAAATTTCTTACTGCACTTTGATGAAAACTAGTCTACCAAACAAGTCAATAGAGGGCGTAAAATGGAGAAAGGTGTGGAGGTAGAGCAGGTCCTTATGCCAGAAAACATCCTTATTAACAAATTTATTGACAATGCCCTTCACTCGTCTTGTTGTTCTACCTCTTAATAAACCGTATTGGGTTCCCGCACTTCCCATTTCTTACCTCACAATTGTTCAACTCAGCCTCAAGGTTGTCTCTTCAGGGATTCACTGGCCATTTTCATCTTAGATCAGGGGTTAAGCCTTTAACCTCATCACACAACAGTAAAAAATAAGTTTTGTCTGTGTCAACAAAGAACGCCAAACTTGAGTCTGATCAGCGAATAAGACAAGTGATTTTTCAACAAATTTAGAGACTTTAGATCTGCCCTGGGACCACAGGATGTCCTTTTTTGTTAAAATGTTAGGATGCTAATGTTTATAACTTTCTTAATTCAGGAAAAAAAATGCTCTCTTTTGGCCGAAAAGTTAAGATTGTCCATTCAATATAACTTCAATATTCATAGTTTGCTTACCTCAGAAGAAATTATGCCTGTAAACAAAAGACTGTGCAGTTGCAGTGGAAGACTTTAATGCTATTCCTTCTCTCCCATGCAAGTGCACAACACTGATGTAATTTTAATTTGTCAGCAGGGATTGTAAACTTCTTCATAAACTCTGGAACTTGCACGTTACTAATTTAAAGACAATGTTTTACATGCATCCCCATTCATCACAGTTAAGCTTTTTTTCCCCATCTCATTTCATTACAGTTTTATAGCCATACATATTACATTTGGACAAATTCAAGAGCACTATTTGGGATAGAAGTTTATTTGCTTTCATCACTATTGTCTGTTTCTTAATACTTCAGCACATTTGAAAAAAGAATACACCTAAAAATCGGTTGCTCTTTAAATACATCATGAAAATAAAAATCAAAAGTAAATTACAACTTAGCTTGTGGTAAAATTGTGCCCGAAAACAAGGAATCCTGTATCACTCCATTTTTCATTCAAATGGATTTTAGTATCCCGCATATGTTTGCCTTCAGAGTAAAAAAGCCTCAACATGTGATGCCGTGATCAAGACCGGATACTTCGATTTTCTCCCAAGCATGTTCACACTTATCTCATACAAACCATGCCAGAGAGGAAGCCACACACACTTTAGAAAGAGGGAACAAAACACACCGGGGAATAGAAAAAGGGGTAAGAAGGATGGCCAAGAGACATTAAATCAATTTTTTTGTTGGGAAATAAAGTAGGAAAAAAACGCTTAAAGGTGAAGCACAGAAAGAAACATTATGAACATAAAAAAAAAGATAAGAAGAAAAGGACAAGAATCCAACAGAGCACACAGACTTTGGATGTATATGGGCTGAATTAACCACTACACACGCTCTTTTATTTCCAACATCCACAAGAATCCTGCTCTTTTTATCCCAACTGACAGCTCATTCATCTCTGCAAGTCTGTTCATCTTATCCCTCTCAGGCGGCTGCAGGCCCTTTACATTTCTAATACAGACCAAACCAGAAAAAAAGGTTGAGAGTGTGTGGTGCCTGGTTGGGCAAAATCCTTATGTGAAGGGAAATTTGTGCTTGACTTTATGAAAGCTTAAAGCCAAGAACGTCAGTAGAAGAAATTCAGCCTTTGGTGGAATAATGTTTGAACAGTCATATCAAAAGATATGTATTCGTTTTTACTGTCTCTAAATGGATCACCGACTGCAAGTTTTATTTTAACCACAAGGTGGGGATATTCATTCAGGGAAAGAGAACATAGAAGCTACAAAGAAAGGATGCTACAGCCTAACAAGAGCATCTAGTTGTAGCAAGTTCTGTAATGATGATAGCAGCTGCTTTCCTTACATTGTGGCTTTTATTGGGTTACCAGCCAGTATTGTTTTGTCAGATTGTTGCTCCTAAAACTGTGATGAAATCAGGAAAATTAATTGAGAAGAATAGATGAACACTGCTTACAGATCCTGTGACACAGAATTTCTTCTATAGAATAGACTAGAATAGAATAAAAAAAAAAACTTTGTTGTCCCACAATAGGGAAATTCTGGTGTTTACAGCAGCAAAAAGATTAAACATAAAATGGCCACACAAATATGGACCTTAGAAAGATTTATAACAATAACACAATAGTGAAGAGCTAAAAGATAAGCAATAAAACACTGTACTGTAAAATGTTTTAACAATATAAAAACTGTTCAACTGGAGAATAAATAACCACTATACAGCTATGGACATTTTTACAGTAATGGATATTTGAAAATAGCAGCAACATCAGAGATGTGCAAAATGACTGCAGCATGTTATTTAAATAGAAAACCCCATAAACCAAACCAGCTGACTTCCTCAATATTACCCTCAACCTGTTTAATTGTTTGTTTATTGGTTTGCTTGCTTATGTTTTCAGGTTCCGTCTGTGGGCTGTAGACAATACAGGACGGCGCTCCAGTCCAAGTGAGGTCACCATCAAAACTCCATGTCCAACTGTGGATGATGTCAAGGCACAGGGTAAGAAAGGGATAGACTCAAGTCAACCAACTCAACCAACTTCAAGATCATACAATTACCAGACTTTAATGTTTAGCTAAAGTTATCAATAATTTTATTTGTATTTTTACATCATATCGCTTATTTTGTAAATCAAGGCCTTCCAAATTATTCGCATCTCTTTCACTTTCCAGCTGAGAACTAAATAGATTAATTATCCATCCATTCATTTTCTGTCACGCTTATCCTAAGCTGTCTACGGGCGAGAGGCAGGGTAAACCCTGGACAAGTCACCAGTCCATCGCAGGGCAACACAAACATACAGAGACAAACAACCATTCACACACACTCACACCTAATGGCAATTTAGAGAAGCCAATTAATCTAACAGTCATATTTTTGGACGGTGGGAGAAAGCCGGAGTACCTGGAGAGAACCCACGCTCAGGGAGAACATGCAAACTCCATGCAGAAAAACCCCAGGCCGGGAAGCTAACCAAATAGGAGGGGCTACCCTCTGCATCACCGAGCAGCCATACATACATTACAGCCATACATTAATTATGTTCAATTAAAATTTTAAAAATACCTTATTCAATCTGAAATAGAAGTTAAATGTTGCAGTAACTCATAGGGTTTTTTTAATCAACTTTTTGTAGGTAAGACACTTTATTTTTGTTTAAAAATTCTTCTGAAGACAATGATTTTATATGATAATTATGATGATGATGATGTACTATATTATACTTTTACATAAAGAATCAGCACAATATTTATAGTCTTTGCATATTTTACAAATATAAATCTCATACAGCATAACATGCATTTGTATTCAGCCCCATTTGATAGATAGTTTATTAAATCATGTTTCACCTCATATACAGCATGAGTAACATGGGGTTCTTTTAACCAGCTGTATGACACATCTAGAGCTTATATTCGTAATCATTTGTAAAATAAATAAAGCTCAGTCATTTTGGTTGGAGAGTATTTGCATGCATCAGTGCTCAAGTCTTGTGATCTGGCGAATGGAAAAACATTTTTCATTCAATCAATTCTGAAAACTCTGCTGCTTTTAGTTGTTGCACTTACAGCTTAATGAGATGATCGTAGTGCATTTATTTTTGTCGTTAAAATGCTTGTGCCTGCACCTGCTCATGTAATGCATTTTGAAATTGGGAGCATATCAGTCTTATCCTGTTAGAGGGAGGAAAAAAAACTTTCAAACGTCCATTTGATTTTCACTGTCCATTTTTCTTGTAGCAGTCGAAATGGGGTTACATACAGTATGTAAGAAATATCCTATGAATTCCGAATGACCACCAGAGGATGGTGATTAGCACCTGAATATCTACACATCTGCAGCACAGGAGTCAAAAATATATGTACTAACCATGTCACCCCACTGGACTTGACCTGGTTGTCATTGATGCCAGTCATTATCAACGACGCACCCAGCACACTTGTTTTTTTTGAATGTATTTGCAAGACTCTGTGTGATAAATAACTCTGGAGGTCTGGAATCTGGAATTCATAGAACCTGTTAGAAATGTAAACCTTGTTTCATTTCAATCCCCCTGATTGGCAGAGGACAGAGCTTAGGCCTAGATGACTTAATACCAACAAAATCACTCTGAGTCAGCACTTATAATACATCAGAGGCCTATGGAGTAGGCTAATAACATCACAGTCATTCACCCTGTAGCAGCATTCACCCTGGAGAAGCAGGCAAATGTACAAAATAAAGCCCAAATAACCACAGCACAAATGTCACTCAACAACGCACTCCTTAGCACAGCCCAGGAGGTGTACATATCTCTGAAATGGCATTTAACCTTAAGATCTATTAACTACCTAAAGTGAGAGGCATTGTTTGGACACAGAATGGCCCTTTCTGCGCCCGCAATAGTAAACAAACAAGGCATCTGTTTTGCAGATCCTAGCTGTGACTTGATGTACTGCCCAAACATTTAAACAGACACAGTGACCTGGGAATGGATATTTTCAGACCAGTTCCCTAGGTGGCAAACACAGAGGCTGGCTGTTTAACATCAAAGCCAGAAATTCTTTAATGTAAAAAAGATGAGTCGGGTGATGAAGTAACACCAGACTTGTCAGAATTCCACAACAAACTGTTCCCAGTACTGATGTCCTCCACCTGCTTTCTGGAGTAAATCACAAGCACTTTAACCAAAATCTAGTGAAAAACAGCACTTTGAACTGGCTCAAACAGCAGAAAATGAAAGCTCTCCAAAAACTACCAGAATTACCATACCAGAGAACATCAACCCACTGACCAACCATTCACAAAGATTGAGATTGTAGAACTTGACAGAGGAGACAGTAACTCTTGTAAATAGCTGAGTAGTATTGGCAGATGGCAGTGTCCTGGTTAAAACTTTGATTGCCACACAACCTGATGAACAACCTTCTTCTGTTAACATAAAGTGTCCTAGTAGAGGTCGGACGCACATTAAAGACAATCTGCCCAGCTGCCTGGTTACAAGAGTACCAGAGCATCCTGCCCTAGCTGACTTTCTTGTCCACTGTTGACAATGTGTTCCTTTGCTTGAGGCGAAGAGCTCAACCTCTTATATGCTATACGGTACATTAGATTATCTGAAAAACTGAATTTAGTCTCCACTTTCCCGGCAACAATTCTGTTTGAAGAGTAAGTCCATATCAAGGTTCTGGCAGTTGATATCTACTGGAGAAGGTTCTGATCCTCCATCACTGAGTGCATGGATATTTCCAAAAAAGTAAAAAAAAAAAAAAAACAATCAACTGGACTTTGTTCCAAGTTTGAACACGTTTTGCCTCCCATCCAGGAAGCTTTTTCATTTCATAGATCTTGTGAGCCCTGATAGTTCGTGTGGTAGACTGTAGAAGTGTTGACTGACCAGACAATGACATGTTTCCCTCTCAGGGCAGGAAAGAAATCCCTGAAATGTAGTTGAACTGCATGTAGCTTAAGTAGTTTTATATGACACTTATTCTGAAGACCCAGACATCACTGGCAATGATGTGGTTTCACATAGCTCACCTGTCTGAAAGAAATGCATCCATGGAAACAATTTCCACATGAGAGGGGTGGAGCCCAAAGGGATGCCTTCATTTCCTAATGCCCTAGGTGCCCCATGCACTAATCTGAAAGACGTACAAGCCTGTTTTGGTGGATCTTAGGGTTGAGGCCTAGCAATGGACATGGCAGTCAGTTTGCTCATCAGTTGGAGGAGCAGACAGTTTGATAGTCTGACTCTCTGCTGAAAACATGACAAAAAGAATCACATCGGCCACCTTCATTAGGGATGGAGAGGCACTCGTGGTTAGTGAGTTGCTGGCAATACTAATGAATACTACCTGCTGACTCAAAGAACTCTGACTTTGGTCAGAACCTCACATGGATTCCTGACCAAAGACCATAGATAGGAGGGACCTGTCAATGAGTGACTGCTCCTGAGTTGGAGTGCATATCGGTCAGCCATCTAAGCAGGGTAGGAATTCTCAGTCCATGAGCCTGTAGCAGGGCCAATGCTGCAGCCACACATTTGGTTAATGTCAGAGGGGCAAGGGAGAGGCCAAATGGGAGCACCCTGAGCTGGTACTTCCATCCCATGAAAGTAACACATAGAAACAGTCTGCAAGGAGGTACCACTGTCACATGAACATTGGTATCCTTTAAGTCAACACTTGTAAAACGTTCCCTTGTGCAATCTTCCAATGAATGTCTACCAGGCAAAGCATGTGGAATCACAGCACCTTGACATTGTAATTTTGATAGTCGAAAACTGGATGAAATCATCAATCCTCTTTCGAATTAGTAAGTAAATTAATGACCCCCTGAACTTGCCTGAAGCATGGACTGGCCGACTCTCTCCAGAAGTTGCACAATCTCCTGCTTTAAGACTGCAGATCTTACTGGGTCAGAAACAACTTTCGTTCTTTCCCATTTAACTTTGTGTTAGCATATGTTATATGGTTCAAATTATATCGAGCTGCATCATGCATAGACCTGTTAGCTCTGCATTCCTGTTATACATGAGTAGGGATCTGAGATCTACCCAGGACTGGTGAAGCTTTTTAATGTACGGGTGTAAAGCTGAGACATTTGACTCATCTTTCTGAGTGACCTTAACAAAGGAACTTTTATTGGCAAATCATCAATCCCAGCGTATGATAAAGTTAGTTGAAAACCTTGCTTGACTAAGAATAGCCCAGGTCCAGACTCTAGCAAGGAGTGAGGGGAACCATTGCTGAGGGGCCTGGAAGTCCCCAATACTGTCCTGGTCCTCAGTGAAGTTCATCTAATCAATGCTTAACAAGGAGTCTTACGCAGCAATAGATATGGTTTATTCTTTGTGTTGACCACCATTAGTGGGGTTAGGGCCAATGTTTTGACTTTTATAGACAATTTCTGGTTTGTGATGAGTCTGCCTTAACATTTATGGCACTTTGGTTCCTTCCTGGGGCTAACGTTCAAAGTCTGCTTAGGCATTTTACCTTCCATTGGTCTAGCAGACATCTCTTCCAGTGGCTACTGACACAGTTGAGGCAGGCTATACTGTAGGACCACCATCTGGGCTCTTCACAGCCAAGCAGCTATTACAGCTCTGCACCTACAGAGCTGATATCATAGTAGCAATACAAAGAAATGAAGCGGGAATCCCTCACAGCTGAAAAGCAATGGAAGGCATGGTGTGAGGATTGTACCCACAGAAGAAATAGCATACAAAACAGTACAACAACAACAGAACTCAGCAGTCTCTACTAATGGAAGTGCATCTGAAAGTGCTACTGAACAGTGACAATAGACCAAAAGTGGGGGACTCCAAACAAAGGAACAGTGAGGTGATGCTTTGCTGCCTATACAGTATGTCAACAAAAGGTCTGTCTAACTGGAGGGTTTGTGAGGCTACAAGCGAGCACTGTGATGGTAGACAAATGTTTATCCATCCACTAAATGTACTGTGAATGATAAATGAGTGCTGTTTGCATCAGGTATAAAAGCTCACAACTGGGTAA